AAAACAAACATATACTTGCCCTATTATTATATTCCTCCAAAGTAATATAGTCTTATAGTCATTACAATATACTCTACAAGTAAGGTTTTACTGAACATATCTTTTGAACTTTCTCTCTTACCGGCTTCGTTGTTTTTTTTGAGGCAAACTGGAGAAATCAGCTACCTCTTCCAAAAGATCTACTGATTGACAAACCATATTGAGAATTAGCCTACTTACATTCAAATATACATAAACAAACATGTGTTAGCTGAAGCACGTGTTAGAAGAATTCTATATGGATAGCCATCAGAATCACGTTCTGAAGTAAACTCCTCTAGGCGCAAACTAGACCTTTTTTAAGTTATAGCGAAAAACATAAGAGAGTAGCTATATACAATTTTTATCTGAGCTATACCGGGAGCAGTATAGTATACTACTTCATCTTCTCGTTTTTTCTTTTTCTTTTTTCTTTTTTCTCTTTATTTTGTTTTATATATCTAGTCTAGTTTGTTTTAACTTATAGCAGGTTTTTTTATAGTCTAGATATTTAGTATAGATCGTGCTACTTAGATCTTATACAATTTTTATTTCTTTTACACGTTAGTTAGATTATATTCTATCTTTCTTTTTAAAGTAGTATTTAGAATTAAGGATAGGATAGTCTAGCTAGAGCAGTCTTGATACAGGCTGGTAGTAGCCTTCTTTTGATCAAAACTAAGCAGGCATATTAGTTATGTACTTAGTTTCAGGAGGAAAATTATGCTACTGCAGCAGATCGTACTTAGGCACCATCTGAGCAGCTGAGTAAATCTGGAATTGCAACAAGGTAGGCATACCTTAAATTAGAACTTTTTTTCTTTTTTTTGTATCTGTCTAAATGTCTTTAAGATATTTGCCTAATAAAATAAAGGGTAAGATCACCTAAGTTTAAAAAAAAAAAAAAAAAAAAAAAAAAAATTTGTTAAATTTATTCGAATTAATTCAAATTCATATTTATATAAATTCATTTAAATATTTAATAAATAAAATATTCAATTTCAATCTCTACTCAGATAGATATAAAGTTGAAATAAGAATAGACAGTGCAGGTGTAATCATTGTAATTGAAAATAGTCTTAAGAATGAGAAGATACATAAGTGATTAAAGTATAAGAACAATAACATTCTGCATGCAATCAAGAAGGTCTGCAAAAGTAAATCAGTTCAGCTAATACTGACTAAAGTCAAAAGTCACTTAGATAATATATATAATAACCTCGCAGATATACTTGCAAATGAAGGAATATATGAAGCAAACTATATGGAACTAAACAATATTAGCAATAATAGTATAAAGTATATCTCTAAATAGAAAGAGCTAAATTTAGAAACCTTACTAAGAGCTTTTGTTAAAAAAGCAGTTCAAACAATATATAAGGCAAAATGGACTTAGCTAAAAAAGAAAAATGATGTGGAGCACCAAACAAGAATACAAAAACAGAATTGAAAAGTTTTCAAGAATATACTAGAAAGTTGTCACAAACAATACCAAAACCCTGAAATAAACTACTTGAGACTGTTCAAAATCAAATACATCAAAAATTTTCTTCTAACAGTAGAAATGTTAAATCATAGAAAGCTATAACTATACAAAGATATTCTATACAAAAGATGCTTAAAGGAAAAAGAAATAATCAAACATTTAGTTACTTATGAAAAAACATATTAGATACTAGAAAAAATTGAAGATGAAGTATAGCAATAGCTCTATGAAGACAAAAAAAAAGAAGAAAATTGAGATCTAAGAAGTATACACCAAGTACTCTATTACGAACAAAAGATAAAACAACAAATAAAAAAAGAATAGCTAAGAAGAATACTTTGTAAAGAAGATGCTGAGAGAATCAAAAATACTATCAGTATAGAAAGTATGATGACTAAGTTCTGGAGTATGTTTTGGTATATTTAGATAAAACTAGTATATAAGGAAGTTTAGAAAAATCAATACAAAGTTATAGAAACTTGAGAGAAAAAAGAAAAGATCTCAAAAAAAGAAAAATATGCAAAGAAAGAAAAAAGAAAAAATGTTCTAAAAGAAAGATCTTTACAGAAAAAAACAAACTGCAGAAGAGATAAGAATACAGAAAGTTGTAATATTAGTCTTAAAATAGCAATAGATAGTATAGTTAGAGAAGTAAAGGAAGGAATTTTAACTAGCTAGATCTAAAATTAGTTATGATAGGCTGTAGTGTCCTTTCTATATTAATTTGTAGTTTACTTTTTAACTACTTAAGTATAGAACAAAGATTACTATAGCAGATCATATATAGGTATCTATAGGATAACTGAATAAGTCAAGGCTTAAAAAATTAGATATTAGATAGTATATAGCTAAATAATTTTTTTTCAAATAGAGAACAAATCTAAATAAAGTCTTGGCATGACTGCTGAATTAAAAAAAAAATAACAACATAAAGATAATATAATAATTACTTGAAAACAAGATAATAGCTTGATAATAAAATATAACAATAATCTGCTAAAAATATGACAAAAATAAAATAATAGAAATAATGATGATATAAAATATTTATATAAAAAGATTTTGTAATATTAAGAATAAAATTTAATTAAAATTTTGAGAACTATTTAATAATAAGTATTATATAGTAAATATAATCTACTAGTTTATCTATTCCTAGTTCTATGTGTAGCTATCTTTGTTATAATCAGAGTTGTGCAACTTACATATCTGGTGATTTTTACTGAATATCAGATATTTTCAAATTGTCCTATACAATGTCTAGTATCCGATGTAGCACAGTTATAGTTGTTATTGGACAATGTCTAGTAAGATTGCATAGGACAATTCAGACAATTTTTTAATATCCAGTGATATGTCCAATGCTAATTGAGCTTCTATTACTCTAAGTATACATATATGTATATCTAAATTGCCCATCTTAATACTGTAATAAAAAAGTAATTATAGTATTTAGGCAGCTGAAATTAGTCTTATATAGTGTCAAAATTAATTTTCATATATGCTGAAATTACTGCTGAAATTTTTTTATCAAAATACATCATATAGTATAGTTATTTTAGAGGGTTTCATATAAAAAATTTAGTAATACCTAAATGTTTGCTGAAAATACTTTTTTTCAAAAATAATTTAGACATACATATATAACTCTAAGTGCATGACTAAAGCGAAAACTATATAAGAAAATTAATTTTTTTGTTAAATCTAATGCATATAAGTAATGAAGAGAGAAAACCTGTAAGTAAAATTTAACGTTATCACCAGTATCTAAGATTTTAATGTGTGAATCTAATTAATTTACTTTATTTCAGAAATCAAGCAAATTGATTAGATTCGCACATTCGAATTTTAGATACAAGTCATTATTTTTCACTTACAGGTTTTCCCTCTCCAGTATTTATGTATAGTATTAGTTATTTTTCTATGTATTTAGTAGCTCACAAGTTAATTATGCAAAGTTTTAAAATCTATGCTATATTTAAAACTATCGACTATTGTTTCAAGCTTCTGAGCGTGGTTTAAGACTATTATAAATAGTCTGTTTGCTAAAAACAATCATATGGTGAATCATTTTTCCTACAGCAATAATATGTTTCCTGTTGTTTTTCTACCCTATACCTGATTTTTCCGTTTCATTTAAACTTTGTCATAATTCAGTAATTTGTACTTTAAAAATTCTGATTTTTCCAGTTCACATAAACTTTCATCATACGACATGTTTCGAATTACTGTAATTAGTAATCTCTTCTAACCTTAATCAAGTAAACTGAAATCGAATCTCTATTAGCCTACCACTATGATTGTGTGCCAAATTAGATATTTGTAGCTGTTTAACTTTTCCTGAATTACAATATGTAACAATATCTCACATAGCATTAGAGAAAAACAAAAAAAATTAAGTTAGCAGCATAATACAAAATAAAGACTTTATGATCTATCTTTAAACTTAAAAATAATTGATTATTAATGATAGCACATGCTAATTCTCATTCTAGTTTATTTTTGTTATTGTGCAAATTATGCAATGTAAGGGAGGAAAACTACTACATTAGCTCACTGAATACTTTTATGTTATACCAAATGAGTGAGCAAATAAAAGTAATTGAAAATATGTTTGTAGAGCCTGCATGAAAGCAGTAGGAAGGCATTTTGCTTTACAAAATGAAAGTATGAAAATTACAAATACTTTACATTATTGTGCTGATCATCTTAAAAGTTGTTCTTATTTTGCTACAAAACATTTATCTGAACAAATACAAAATATTATAAATTTGGCTATATCTTCAACCTCAAAAAAACGTGTAGCAGTGTCTTATGCAGAAGAAGATGATGATGATAGTTTAATTTTAACAACATCAACTCATTCCACTA